GCAGAGAAATAGTCCATTTAATAAACGTTATGTATCTATAGGTATACCTTCTATAATATCAGATAAATAGTCCATTTAATAAACGTTATGTATCTATAGGTATACCTTCTATAACAGTCCATTTAATAAACGTTATGTATCTATAGGTATATTCAGAACATTATTTTATGGCAGGTTACATGAAAACCACCAACGGTCAGTAATGGACTATTACGCTTTAATATGAAAATCTTGCTACTTACCACATGACTTCACGTAAGTGTCCATCACCTCTGTAGATATGTTGTACGGACCTAGCTCTGAGGGAGCATGTTTCCTGAAGTAATTCTGGATGCTTCCTTCCGAAGCTAACACTTCGGCGACTGGTGTTGATTCTATATACTGTACAAAACCTGGATAAACGAAAACTGAACTTAGTTGTGTTAAACGTCACAACTGTGTGCAGGTTAATTAAACTTTCCTTGGACAAAAAAACAGACAATAAACTAACAACATGTCAAGAGACTGAATTTCCCTACCATACAGAAATACTAGATTTTGCTAAACTAACAATATGTAAAGAGACTGAATTTCCCTTTTCCCTACCATACAGAGAGATACACTTAACTATGGCTTCGACCTTTGTAATTTCACAAAAACATTAATTATTTAGAACATGATAAATATCTCCAACTATATTAAAGTTAATTACTGTAATTTTTGTTTATCTAATCACTAACTATGAAAGGCTTATTGTCGTTGTCACTCTGTCGAGAATGCTTTCACACTCCTTTTCTGGTAATGCTCAACAATATACATCGTCACTTAGCAACAAAACTACAACTTGATTGTTCTTAGGCCAACTATGGTGTTTATGTTAAGACAAATATAGTTAAAACTGCATAGGCGACGAAAATATCAAAATGGAATAATAGGTTGAACAATCACCAAATGTTTATATATTTTTATATAAAGAAGGATGACATTTCGAGCTAATGCTCTTCGTCGGATCGTACAGTTTACAAAAAAGGCGCATGCATAAAATTCAAAGAATACAGTGTCCCCATACCTACATATTAGATTAACAACTCAGATAACAGTGACCCATACATATAGACCAATTAGATTAACAACTCAGATCTCAGATAACAGTGACCTGTACAGATAGACCTATTAGGTTAACAACTCAGATCTCAGATAACAGTGACCCCATACATATAGACCTATTAGATTAACAACTCAGATAACAGTGACCCGTACAGATAGACCAATTAGGTTAACAACTCAGATCTCAGATAACAGTGACCCATAAATATAGACCAATTAGGTTAACAACTAACCTCTCCATCTTTAGTGAATAGGGGTGGTATGAAACAGAATCTAATTAAGAAAAAAAACTAACTTCATTTTAGTTGGTCAACAAAATTAGATTTAAAAATCAAGGACAAGAGTTCACAACTTCAGGTTATATAAGATCAAAACTGATGTTTTTTTTCTAGAATGACTCCCTATTTTACATAATTATAGTGTTTCTGCAAGTCATACTCACCATGTTTACTGCTGGTGGCAAGAACTCTGTATGGTGTTAATTTTAAGTCTAGGTTTTCACGTCGAAGAAGCTAGAGTTTGACAAAAATATTTAACATAACTGAAACCACTAATTTTTATTACAAAAACAAGATAACTTATACAACTTCGAGTATTAGAAGCAGAATTTGTCTTCAATCAAAGATACACCTGAAATACACACTCACTGTCTAAGTTAAGGGCTCATGATAATAGTTTGAACTATCAGTTGGTCTTGTTTTAGATCAAAGATACACCTGAAATACACACTCACTGTCTAAGCTAAGGGCTCATGATAATAGTTTGAACTATCAGTTGGTCTTGTTTTAGATCAAAGGTACACCTAAACTACACACTCACTGTCTAAGCTAAGGGCTCATGATAATAGTTTGAACTATCAGTTGGTCTTGTTTTGGATCATTCAAAGATGCACCTAAACTACACACTCAATGTCTAAGTTTAGGGCTCATGATAATAGTTTGAACTATCAGTTGTCTTGTTTTAGTCAATTTTAATGTTCACCTAAACTACATACTCACTGTCTAAGTTTAGGGCTCATGATAATAGTTTGAACTATCAGTTGGTCTTGTTTTAGTCAATTTTAATGTTCACCTAAACTACATACTCAATGTCTAAGTTAAGGGCTCATGATAATAGTTTGAACTATCAGTTGTCTTGTTTTAGTCAATTTTAATGTTCACCTAAACTACACACACAATGTCTAAGCTAAGGGCTCATGATAATAGTTTGAACTATCAGTTGTCTTGTTTTAGTCAATTTTAAGAATTTTAGATTAACTATAAGTTTTCTACAGTGAGCTGGTTATGCTCAAAAACATTTTTAACCTTACACATATACCTACACTGGGTACAAATTCTCCATCACAGCAGTTGTTTTTAATGTTCTCTTTACTTATTCTAGTTAATTATAAAATAGGAAAACTCCATCCAAGAAATCACAGTAATGGTTTGTAATATAACTTGTTCTTGTCGTATATTATTTTTAAGATTCACAAATGTTGGTATTTTTCATAATTCACTAAATTTAGATGCACTCTATCCATGGAGTTTATAGTAGCATATTTTGTTTTCAAACTACATAAAATCTAGACTATGCTTACTTTGTCCATGAGGGTAATAGTCTGTAATATTAGCTGGTCTTGTCTGAGGTCATCTCCATGTTTAAAGATTGCTACATATTCTGTATCATCCACTGTAAGAAACGTTAGTCTAGCAGGCATAAGAGCACTTTTAAATAACGTTGCCTTCTCTGGAATAATCCCTTTAATTTTCACTTCTGGGTCTAAAGACAATGGCAGAGGATCAAAACCTGTAAAATTGATCTTATTGGCTTCAGGATCCGAGAGCATGGCCTGCAGTCGTTCAATCTAGAATTTCAAAGAAATAAACCCTCTGGTTCTTAGGTACACACTTTCATTAAACATAGGTCAAAATAATCCAGTTTGATAACTGTAAAGAAAACATTACACATTACAGTTTTTAAGATTAAATTTCATACGTGGTTTTTTGTATATCGCCAAATGTAAACTTATCACAGACCTTCATACTTGAAACTGACAAATGTTTTTAGATTCAAATCTTCATTAAGTTAGGGAATAACTCTCTTAATTATGCAAATTTTCTACCAGAATAGAACATGTAACTTTAACCAACACATCTCAACTAATCATATTAATATTTTTAACTATTACTGTTACCAAATTATACACCAAATTCAGATTGTTTTATTATAACACTTACACATTTCTTATTGAAGTAGCAAATACAAGCCATGATATTAGAATGTTTACATAAATTACTCTCTATAAAATCATCATTGTTCAGACAAACCATACTTTTTATAGTCTTCAATTTTGTTTGGTTACAGAGCTATCGAATAGAAAATCAGACCCCTCCTGTCACATCCTCTCTTTCAGAATTTGTTGATAGTTGTCTCTTACGTTTAACTATGTATATTACCTATAACCATAGAAAGTCAAGGTTTTCATCTATCAAGTGACGTATCGTATAATTATTTTCTGAACAGAGAAATGTCAATTTCATTCAGAGTACCAACATCGTTCCCTTGAAAGTTAATGACTATCTTGGATGAATTTGTAACATCTCTTGTTGCATAGTTAGAAAGCCAGAAAAATTTTGAGAAGTAAGGGAATTTGTCTACTTTTTGCATGTTATTAGTTTATATTCTTTGGTGCATTATTTAATTAAATGAAGATTAATAAGTGTATTACTACCATCAGTATAAAAAAATTAGGGTTAACTCTCTTCGTCAACCAACAGCAAGAAAAAAAAAAAGAAGATTGGTTCAGTATTTTATTTCTTGTTTTTCATGTTTATTCATTATGTATAATTATAAAAGTAACTAAAATGTAAAAATAGGGATCCTTTTACATTAGTTAAGATTAGATTAGGTAAAATAAATAATAATAATATTATAATAAAAAATTTTCATGAGGCACACATTCGAGCAGCTCATGGGTAATGTAATTCGTTAGTGTAACATAAGCTGCACATTCCCCAAGTAATTTATAACTTATAATGGCGTGGATAGTAGTTAGACATGGTTCAAAGGGTAATAAAACAAAGAAATTTAATTATAAATAGATGTATACTGTTATGAACTTAGAGCTACTTAGGATAAACAAATGTAGTTTCATGTTACAATTTGAAGTCATTCTAGAAAGAAAAAAAGGTAATTTAGACTTATTTAATTTTTTTTTGGTGGTTACGAGGTCGGTCGAATTGACCAATCCCGTTTTGAGATATGGTACAGAAAATAACAGATAAACTATAAAGTTATACTGAAAAAGAAACGTTTGAAATGCATTTAGGAGATTTTAGGGATTACACAAAGGAAATATGAGATTTTTGAAATGAGGAAAAGTATTTTTAATTTTAACATGAAAATTACTTTGTACATGGACTATTCAAAACAAATACTCAATATATTCATGGACAAATCTTTATTTTATTTTATTAAAAATACGTGAAAGACTGCCAAATTTTGTGAAGATATACCCAATATATTGATAGTTAGAAGTATCAAATTTATAAAGACTTTAAACAAGTACAAAGAGGTCACATGGTCAGTCAAATTGACCAAGTCGGTGTTGAGAGATTTAACTTCACCTTTTTCTTCCGATTTCCACTTTCCCTGGCGACAGTCTTCATTAATACCACCAACTTATCTATGAAGTTCTGTTGTCGAGATAAAAGAGAACGTCTCAAGCGGTATTGCCGTCCTCCCTGAAAATCCAAGCAAAATTCAGTTACCTTACTTGTTAAAAAAACACGTAAAATTAATTCCAAGTTTAAGTTCCACTGTTTAAAAGATGGAATTTAATCATCTATACAAATTTACATTAATGTTAAATATCACATAATGAACCAAACCACTGATATTAATTTTACAAAAACTCTTTACTTACTAAATAAGAAACATTTTGTCATTTCATTTAGAATTGTTCACTGAGTTTTACAATTTCATATACAAAGTAAAAATCAAACATTTTAGAAGTTACTGTTATTTGTACTAACTGCATTGCTTCACTTTTCAGGTCATAAACTTCATAGAAATATACATACTGTATACTGTTCTTGTACAGAGCTTGTTACTTTATATGTTGATTCAGATGAAGATAAAAATGGGAACATCAAAGAAGAAAAATCCTAGAACTTAAAGGATGCAAGTTTTAGTCAGTATTAGGAACAATACACCACTTTGTATGTAATGACTACAGGTGTGGTTTTAGTCAGTATTAGGAACAATACACCACTTTGTATGTAGTGACTACAGGTGTGGTTTTAGTCAGTATTAGGAACAATACACCACTTTGTATGTAGTGACTACAGGTGTGGTTTTAGTCAGTATTAGGAACAATACACCACTTTGTATGTAGTAACTACATATGTGGTTTTAGTCAGTATTAGGAACAATACACCACTTTGTATGTAGTGACTACATATGTGGTTTTAGTCAGTATTAGAAACAATACACCACTTTGTATGTAATGACTACAGGTGTGGTTTTAGTCAAAATTAGGAACAATACACCACTTTGTATATAATTAATACAGGTGTAGTTTTAGTCAAAATTAGGAACAATACACCACTTTGTATGTAATGACTAAATGTGACCTTAATGAGGGCTTGAGAGAATCGCTTCATGACCGTGATGTACATGTCTGTGACTCTAGGGTCCTTTGTTGTATTGTCTTGATCTTCGCACTCCACAAGTAGATACCTATAAACCAACACAGTCAGAAAAAAATAAAACATTGTCCAGGTTTACGACAGATTAAAAATTCACACTTAAAACTAACCAGTAAATGTTGATGTTTTACGTATGTTTAGAACAAGCATAAAAAGATGGACAAGGTAACCAAGAACATGTAACATTTTTAGTAGAATTAGTTAATTCAATGGTAAGTCATCGTGCAACATGACTGACATATTTAATGACACAAACACAACTGGTAACCAATTAATCATATCTAAATTACTCTTAAACTTATAAGTAGTAGCTGACTGACATACTGAGTAACACAAACAAAACTGATAAATGAAGTGATCATACCTAAAGTATTGAAATA